ATAAGTGATAGCCTGTTAGTTAGGTGGTAGCTATTTTATCCTTGGTTTTATAATTTTCTTGTCTGGCTCTCACATCAGATCAGCTGGGACAGGCTCTCATTTGTCTACTTATAGTATTTAGTAGAGATAGATGTACAGCAGGCATTAAGAACTTTTGGCAAATTAATGATGGAAGCTGGATTAGTAGATGATGAGTGTATAAATGACTGAATAGATAAATGAGTTGGATGATTTGTGCACTGGACAGGACAAGTGGATGCATGGATGGATGGATGGATGGATGGATGGATGGATGGGTGCATGGATGGATGAATGGGTTCGTGAGCTAGACTGATGAATAAATGGTTAAATGGATGGTTATATAAACAACCTAATCCCATTAAAATGGAGCACAGATAAACAGTGCCTGAAGTCAATCTTGTCAGCTATCTGAAAAGAAAATTCTGCAGTATGTGATTTATTAAGTTTGGGGTTATTGTTTTCTTTTGTTTTGGTTTTTTTTTTCACAAGCACAGCTGTCTTCTTGCTCATGATTTTTGGTTTTAGGCAATCTGTTATTTCCAATATCACTGTATCCTTGTAAATTTAGACCTTCAGTAAATCTTCTTCAAGGCTTAGAGAAAACATGCATTTAAATTGTTTTGGTCACAAAGTAAAGACCTATGATACCATCCCCGGAAGATGTTGCAATTTAATTGGAAAAAATAGTCAATTCATAGAAGTCTGTCAGTTACCATCATTCTAGAAGTTTCCCTGAAGCTAGATCAGGCAGACTACTATGTTTTGGTAACATCTAGAATAAATCAGAAGAGCTACGTGGAGGAGGTGGCTTAAAAGTGAAGAAGAAGTCATATTGTCATGAGCAGGTGACCCAGGCAAAAATGAATCTTAAAGTTTGGAAGCAGTAAAGCCCAGAGGATCAGAGTACTGAATCAACCTAAAGCCCAACAGTAGTTGGGTGCTGACAATGAGAAAACCTACCTTAGGATCAAAGCTTTGGAATTTGTTCAAAGAAACACAATATCTTTGAGCTGGCAAAACATGACCCCTTAGAGTCTCAACCAAAAGTCAGAATAATAATGACTGTGAAGGCTGTGAAGAAGACTAAAGGAGGTAAGGTCTCTGGCATCTCCATGTCTGGCTCCCTACTGCTTACCTGTTTTTCTACTCCCTCAAAGGCGGCATGGAGGTCAGAAAATGAGCCTTAGAGTCATGATGCTGTCAAATTCAGTTACTTGCTGCATGATCTTCAGCCAGTTACTTCACCTTCCTGGCCTCGGTCTCCTCATTCTATAAAGCAAAAATGATAAAGAAAATCTGTCTGTTAGTGCAGCTGTGGAGAAGTCTTGAATTAATGTGTGATAAGAGCTGAGAACAACACCTGGTACAAAATAAGTACCGCCTAAATATTTGTTCTTATTTTACAACTATTATTATTCCTAAGGAAATGAATGCTTACTCTTTTTTTAAAATTTTATTTAAAAGAAAAAAGAAAAAACAAAACAAAACAAAGCAGTGTAAGGGTACAAGTAATACAGAACTACAAAAAAAAAAAAAAACAGTAAGAAATCACCAGTTAATAGATTACATAGTATCATCTTAGAGATAGTTGCTCAAATCACAGTATCAAAGCATACAAAGTGGACACTCAAACAGTGAGACTGCAAACAGTTGTGTTCAATGATCCAACCAAAACATTAATATGGTCAGCTATTTAACACCCCTAAACACTCTTGCTGTTGTATCATTTAGAGCTCTTTTTTTTCCCTCTCTTTTTTACAACAAAATTTACACATTTTGGGTTTTATTACTCCTTAGTTCTTATTACTTTTTTTGGGGGGGGGAGAATAAAGTCAAATATGGCAAAACAAAGCTGTCAGTCAAACCAAGGAAAGACATAGCACATGATGTAAAACAGAGTACAAGGTTATCAACAATGGTTATCAACGTTGTCTCTTGTTTCCTTAAAAACAATTGTCTATCTCATTATATATTATAAAGTTGAACAAAACAGTAGAGAACAAGACCAATAAAACTTAAGGAATGCTTAGTCTTAATGAATAAGAAGCAGCAAACTTAGTGGTAAAAACATGAACCTTCTTTTATATATTCTTAGTATATTCCAAGTGTAGATTAATAAAATTTAATTTAATTTAGATTGATATAATTTTCATAAAACATTCTATATGTTATATAGTATATCTATTTTGAATATAGCTTTGATTAGCATAATATAATGTTAATGGCCTTGATAACTTGGGAATAGGTAATTAGTGCCCTCAAACTTGATATGGAAAAGCCGGGACTCATAGCCATTTAGTGATTTGCTCAGGCATATGCAGTTAGTAAGTAATGTTATGGAGATGCTAAAGTTTCTCCTATTTTACTCCTCAGAACTATTTGATCTATAAGTCATCTATATCAATCACTTGGTACATAGATTAGGAAACAGAGGTTTGCAGTGGAGGAAAAGACTGGCCCAGCATGTCTCAGTGAACAAAGCTGGGATTAAAACCCTGGCCTATCTGTTCTCAGCCCATTGTCATCAATGATATGGAGTACACACATATCTTAGTCCATTTTCTGTGGCTAAAACAATACGCTTGAGTTTGGGCGACATTTACAGAAAATAAACTTATTTCTCATATTTATGGACCTTGGAAGTCCAAGAGCATCTGCTCAGCATCTGGATAGTGCCTTCTCTCTGCATATTAAGGAGTGGAAGGCATCACATGGTGAAGCAGAATGATGAATTATGTATCAGTTCAGGTCTGTATTCCTTTCTTTAGAAAGCCAGAAGTTCCCTCATGGGGGTCTTACCCTGATAACCTTATCTGATCCCAATTACTTTCCAAAAATATCACCTCCAAATACATAACTATGTACATTTAGGAAGTAAATATCAACATAAGTTTCAGAGCATATATTCAATCATGGTAACAGACATGTGTAAATCTTCATCAAATTAAACTTTAATTTTTTGTTCCTGGGGAATGATGTGTACAGGCACTGAACCATCCAGCAGCGAAGTAGAGAAATTATCTCCTTACTGAGCAAACCTGTATGACTAGTAAAAGATATTTGATGACTTGCCAATGGTTCATCCAATTTCTATCTGTCATAACCTGAGATTTTCACTCTGTTTCATCATGCAGGGCCACTGTTTGGTCCAGGACACTGGGTGGCCAAAACATTCTGTACCATAGCTCATTTCTCTCAGCTTAGCCTCCCAAGGAGACCTTGGGCTTGTGTCTTCTCATGTCTCAGAGTCACTTTCCTTGTAGGGCTAAAGTGCTATCACTTGAAGCTTTGCCAACAGCTGAGAGAAAGCTTAGAATATCCCTGCCTTAGGGACTTTGGCTACTTCCTACTAGAAAGGAGGAAATTGGGAAACCTGAAAGCATGTTCCTGTGTCTGTAGTTATAAAGACTATGTCTTCCTGTGACAAGTAGATGGGTTAATGGTTGCAATTAATCAAATAATTCAAGAGAGAAGAAAGCCATTGGTGCTTACTCAGACAGATACTTGGGAACCTGAATTTTCTAACAATTTTTCTCAGTCCTCAGATGCATCACTTATTGTCATTGTAGCATAATCTGATGTGAAATAAAAACATTCCTATTTATTTTCTTACAAAAAAGACAAATTGCAATAAAGGGAATATCATGGATTTATTTGAGGCTTGTGATTGCTCAGAAGCCAACGGCTAGAAGAGCCAGAAAGAGATTGGAGGCAGTGATTTTTCAACCTTTCTTTTGGAAAGTAGAATTCTTATGCATGTGAAATCCTAAAAGAAATTCCAATTTATAAATAGATAAAAATGAAAGAATATGCTCTGGCTTTGTTGAATCAGTAGCCCCATTTTCCAATATTCTTCTCCCCGGGTACAGTGAGGCTGCTTTACAGAACCTCTGGACTCCTAGGAACACATTTTGAAAACTACTAATCTAGTTCAACACATCTAAGTAACATAGGAGAACACGAAGCAAAGAATTTACTCAGTTCAGGTCTTTTCAGACTGAAAGTTGAAACTCCTCCTTTTCAGTACCATATTGTTTTATGATAAGGTTGAGTTGTTCCCTGGTTGTCTACTATTGTGTAAGAAACGACACCCAAAATCTAGATTTAAAGAATGTGGTTACTTTCATGAGTGCTCTCTTTGGGCAGGGCTTAAATGGAATGATACGTTTCAGTTCTCTGATGTCCAGCATGTCAGCTGGGGTAGGTTGATTAGATGGGACTAGAAGCTATCTTAGCATGTCTTTCTCTTTATGTAGTCTCAGGGCCTTTCTATGTGGTCACTCCATCATGGTGACCTCAGGGAACTTCTTTCTTGGAGACTTGAGATTTCAAGACAGAAAAACCCTGGAACATAACTACATCCACGTTCTGTTGCCATACAAAACCAGCTATGAATCTCTGTGGGAGGGCTAGTCTGCACAGGAGCCTAGAAAGTATAGCTTATTGGGGAGCCATCTTAAATGTTGGCTATATGATTTACTTTCTTTTGATGTGGCTTTACTAAATAGATTCTGATGTGATTTGATCTTAAATAAGGAAGATCAAAGAAACTTTCGCTGTTTTTCTTAGATTACGGTTAGAAGCACTGTCTTGTAGAAAAGTGGTAAGCTAATACTAAGTCATCATCAGAAAGCTGATCCAAGACCAAAGAATTCTAGTTATAAGAAATCTAGTTTTAGATGACCCTAAACAAGAACTTTCAAATAGCCACCATAAAATTTGACTTCCTCTACGTGAAATAGTGAATTTCCCTATAATAAGAGCAATCTCTTTCATTTCTTCTGCAGTTGAAAGTATCTGATTCTCAGAAAAAATGACTAGTAGAGAAATCTGCATCTCCTTGAGCTTAGGGATGCTGAAATAATAATATGCATTTCTAAGAATCAAGATTTCATATAAATCTAATTCTTGTTTGTTTGTCTTTTCTTTTTTCCCCCTTTTTGGACATTTCCTTCATCTGACTGCCCATCAATATATAGAAGAAATGCTTATTCCTACTCCTATTACTTGTAAGTATCGAGCTGGTGTTAACTTTGCTTCGTATCCCATAAGGGTACCTGTAGCATGCATTTCCTGCACCAACCAATTGTCTGTTGGTTTCTTGTATCAACTTCTGTCTACGTCATCTGTATCCCTGAAGTTTTATTTTGTATAGATGTTTTCCATTTGAAAATGCACTATCATTGTTTGAGTCTGTTATGCTCCTGTCCCTTAATTTTTCTCCTGTCTTTGGAGATGTGAAGGAATTGTGAATGCAATTTTTAGATAGAAATCCCTGAATTCCAGCAAGAGAGGGAATCCTCCTAAAGAAATGTACTACTAAGATAGAATCACAGATCCCAGCAACTTCTAAATACATTTGTGTTTACTTGGGAAATAGGTATTCTGAGGTATCAAAAGATAGATAGAAATCAATTGGCTATTTCACTTATTTCAAAAAGATTTGAGAAACAGTAGGAATCATCACTGTAGCTAGACCCAGCCTCATAGGTAACAGAAATATCTAATATTTTTGCTTTGGGCTAGAATTAATCTGTTTAGTGTTTAGCATTAGTTATCACATATAATCAGTACATTTGGTTTGGAGTTATAAATGCCTTCTTGCCTATTAAATTTTTTTCACTTTCTAGATAAAAATGTTTTTATTAACAAAACAGATCTTCAAAATATGAGGGTAAAGTAGAAAACCTATATAGTAGAGTCTCAATATCAAAAAGTTGAAAAACCACTGAAGTATTCCCATATTGCTAATAATTCATTTTGTCTTTTTGAAATTTAAGGTTCAGAGGTAGACATGTGATCTCATTACATATGTAGCAAGAAAAATAGGATTAGAATCCGAATGTCTGACTCCTGGTAGTGTATTTCCCACCACACTATGTCTTACAGCACCTCAGACACACAAAGCCTGGTAGAGAGCTTATCTTAGTTATATGCTGAAACATTCACAGATGAAGATGGAGCTAGTACAGGGCTGACTTATCGCCTTCTGCTCAGTTAGGACCAAGCAGTGAGCAGATAGAATGATGGTACCACCACCATCCTGGTATAGGGAAACCCAGGAACTTAATACTGCATGTACTTAAGAACTTACTTCTTTTGCTCATTTGTTCTTTAGCAAATATGCAAGGAACATGCACATTATGGATCCAGACAATTTGGATGGAGAAATAACTAGGACTCTAACCCTCCCCTTCATGATGCTGCCTATCTGAGAGACCACAATAGAAGTCAAATAACTACAATATCAGCTAAGAAGTACTTGTATATATTATGGTACTTAGTTGAGTAACCAGCTTTTAAATACATCCAGGATAATAATGTATTTAGAAATGCATTCACTCAATAAAAATCCTGATTGGTGGGAACAGAATCTGCAGAGGCCTGGTGATATTTAAAACCATACTGTGTGGTATTATTGTAATGGAAAGATAATGAGCTGTAAGAGTTATGTAGTTCTGCATTCAAATCACATCTCTATCACTCAGTGGTTATACAGCTTTGAGCAAGTTTTCCAAACACTTTGAGTCCCATTTTTCTTACCTCTCACTTGAGAGCAAGAATGCCTAACTTGTGAAGTTACCCTAAAGAGGGAGTAAGGTACATTTGCAAAGTGCCAGATATAATTTGTGTTGAAGAAAAGCTGGATTTCTTTCTTCCTCCTCTCACTAAGGGAGCATGGCTTTCTAGTCTTCTGAGGCTCTTCAGTAATCAGTGTCTGTGGGCATGCAGGAAGTTTTGTGCCCCAACTACTATCTTTGGAAGCTGACTTCAGCTATACACTATAATAGGCATTGTGATGGATTTCAAGATGAGTGGTGTGGAAGTACAGGAGACAGGTGTGCAAATTCTTGTGGTTAAGGTGCAATGACAAGCAAAGGTCTTTCAACTGGTGCAACCATTAAGTCCCACACTAGAGACCCTGCGTGTAAAACTTATGACAACACTGGGAGCCAGAAGCATATGGAAGAGACATGGGGTTTTCATCATAATATTCATAATTTTATATTCACCAGTCCCTAAAAACTCCCATGAACATCATATATTATATGCCACTCTAGAGCAATTCTTTCAATGTAATCTTCTGTCTTCTATAGAGACATCTTAGATAGTTAGGTTTTCTCTTGAGTATCATTTTCTCATCCACAGCCTCCAAAAAACACTTCCCTGAGAAGGTGAATCATCTCCTGGCATTAAAAGGATTGAGAAGATAAGTTATACTTATCAGAACAGTAGAAGACTAAACTACCAGCACATGTCAAATATTTTGAACATACATTAGATGGCTGAGTCTTCATAATAACCCAATCTGATAGTTACCATTGTCCATATTTAATAAGGTAGAAATTCCTCAGGGAAGGTAAGCCATTCCTCCTAAAGTCACTCAGCAGCAGATGGAAGGAAAAAAGAATTACCTTGTAAACAGAGACATGAGGGTGGTAGCTTAGAAAAAAGATGAATATGACTCTGTATATGTTGGTTAAAAAAATCTGATAGAACTGCCAAGCAAAAAATTTCCATGGAACTTCAGAAATGAAAAGGTGGAGTCTGGATGGAAGGTATATGTTTAGAACCTTCCTCTGAGAATATAGGTAGGATGAAATCAAGATGGGGGAAAATTGAAGGGAAGACAGAGGAATAAGATGAGGTCCAGAAATTGACTATGATTAAAATTCAGAAGAGAAGTTAAACTGGCAGGCACATAGGTAGCAGGGGAAAATTGCAATAACCAAGAAAAGGTCACTGTAGAAAGAGAAGTTGGGAATAACAGATGCTGCATACCGAGGATGGAGGTGAAGGGCCTGACTCAGCCTTAACATTCAGACATCAAGAATAACTTTGCAGGTTATAGGGTAAAGGTAGGAGAGAAAGCCTCCCTACCTGGAGATCACAAGGACTATCACCTTTTCCTAACTGTTGGGCTGAAAAATAGAGGAGAAACATGAGATTGGCCACTTGAAAGAACATAAAGTCTTGGACACATGTATAATCAAGGTAGAGGAACCCTTCATGGGGAACAAATAGGCTGAGTGTGCTGAAGGTGAGTTTACTATAAAAGGAAGGTCTTGAGGCAAGATGTTTGGGGAAAGAGAGCAGCCTAGGAGGAGAGGAAAGACAGGTTTAGTGAAACCATAGGATTGAGAGGCATAGAGATAGAGGAAAAGAAATAGCGAAGGACTCTATGCCTTCAGATTTGAAGCCCCATTCAAATTTAACCATAGGATTGAGAGGCATAGAGATAGAGGAAAAGAAATAGCGAAGGACTCTATGCCTTCAGATTTGAAGCCCCATTCAAATTTCTGGTATAGACTATGAATGGGAGCTTTAACCCTTGTTACTTGGCATGCGGACCATGGGCCACCAGCATCAGCATCAGCCAGGAGCTTGGGTCAAGTGCAGCACCTAGGGTCCCTACCCAGACCTGTTCAATTAGAACCTGTATTCTAATAAGACCCTCTAAAGATTCATGTTCACATTGAAATTTGAGAAGCACTAATTTAACCAGAATGCTGGTTGTTCCCTCTATAAAATAAAAAATAAAAAATAAAAAAATGGCACCCTTTCACAGAGCTTGGGGATGATGTCATCCCTCTAAAGCTCCAAAATCTTCCACAAAAGAGAAAGCCTCCAACAAATTTTGCTTAACCAATATCTTTAGAGAAACTAGTGTTTATGTATTTAATAAATATTCAGGTTATGTGCCAGGTACTGATCAAGATTCTGGGGACTTAGGAATTAACACAAATTCAAACTTCACCCATTTAGAGCTTTTATACAGAAGATAGAAATATTTTAAAACATATAATAAAATACATAATGTTAGGCAATGGAAGAGCTAAGGAAAAAGTAAATAAACCACTGGATATAATGAATGGGTAGAAGAAAAGTTGAAGAATTTTTATTTCTCCCCAGCAAAGAAATCCTCTATTGTTCTCCCTCATTGAAAGAATCCATACCCAAGACCAGAGAGATCCCAAAGATTTTCTGTAAGGTGTCAGACAGTTACTATCTTTGATTTTGCATCTACTCTGATTTTGTAGCGGGAAAGCACTCATAAACTATTTGTACATGAATGAGTGTGATTGTGTTCCAATAAAACCCAGTTTTAAAACTTCAGACAGTGGGCCAGATTTGGTCTGCAAGTTATAGTTTGCCAGTTCTTGTCCAAGGATTCTGAGAGTTGGGACAAGATTAAGTTGACCCCTCCTGTTTTTCTGTTTGTTTGTTTGTTTTAAGCTTCTGCTACTTACTGTATTCTTTCCTTGATTTTGGAGACAGAGATCACTGTTCTAGGTGTGCATCACCCATTAGATTGTTTGCACCTAGAATAATCATGAGACCATTCTAAGCCTTCATCTTTTTTTTTCAATATAATGTATTTAATTATAAGCTTACATAGTTTAATTTCTAGTAATGGCTTATGTTTAATAAATACTTTAAAGACTCTTGAAATTTCAATGATTGGTTCTTGCATCTTCAAATAGAACAAACAACAGTGACTTTCCAGAATTTTGGTGAGGGTTAAGGAGAGACTGTATGGCACAGAAGTAGGTATTTTACAAATAAAAGCTGCTGCAATTCCTCACATTCTGGGCTGACAGACAAGCTTCTCAAGGACCTCTTTTAGCCTTCCTGTAGTAAAGCACCTCTCAACAATTCCCCTTGTTCAGTGCCTGCCTTTTTACAGGATGTTAAGAGTTGGCCTATGTCCACAAGTTAATTTACCTCAAGGTGTGTGATGGGCACAGTAATTGTTTTCAACAGAGACATTTTAGTGTTGTGGTGCTTTAAAAAGCACTAAGTTTACCCACTGTTCTGGCTGAGAAAGAGAACACATACCTGCTTCACTTGTTCTTAAACAAAGCCTGTGCGATGCCACGGAGGTGGGAAGTGGGGACCCAGCCCGGCCTGTCTGTGGATACTGTACTCGCGGGCTTCTGCTCTGTCCTATGTACTGCTATCCCCCGACCCCTTGCACTTCAGCACATTCAAATTCTGTAACTTTCTT